TAATAAGCAACGTAAATTAAATATCACATTTTATTTGTTTATTTTAACAAAACCCAGACTACAACATTAAAATCGGTTTCATTAATAGTTTTAAATAAAAATTGAGTATTATTTAGTTTTACATGCATATGCATATCTACAAAACTGATAAATCATAAAATTAATTCTACTCGTTATCAATTTTTTGTTGTTCGTCAATGTTAAACAAAGATGATCACTGTGTTATACTGTGTCGCTTGTAGGAAGGCACTCTTAATGGTGGCGACAGTATTTGTGTATAAATACCTTGTATCTATGTATCTAAAACTTAAAAGATACCGTATCAAAAAACTAGATACGGATATAGGTATCTCCGCCTATAAAGATCTAGGTAATGCACTTAGGTATAGCTAAAGTATCTAGATACTGTATCTAGATACTTTTACCTAGATACGTTCCAACACTGTATATAAGTATGTCGTGAGAGGAGTTAAATGAAATATTAAGTTATTAATTATGCTCTCTGTATTGCATACTAATTGAAATAAAGTAATCCAAATAAATTTTAGACTTAGATTGAACAATAAATTGTATATATTATACATTACTTATTATTTGAAAATCCACTCTTTAGACTAATTAGTGATCTGCCAGTTTTTCTAATTATTAAAATTTCTATAATGTAATGTCCCTTGCAGAATAAACAGCTTATTTTTAGAATATAAACTATGAAAACTAATCTACAGTGTACTTTTTGTTTCCTGTTTTTTTTTTGTTTTTACTTACTATTGGCTCCTCCCTCTTTGTGACTTTTATCGACAGTTGTGTTTCCTTGTACAGTGCATAAACTGTGGCAATATTTGCAAATGTAGCAATATTGCTGAAATGATCTGTGCTGTACAGGTCTTATCATACATGTTTCTTGTCTCTTTCGAAAGTTTATCAACTTTTATCTTGGGTGACAGAAAACAGAAAAAGAACAAGAGGCAAAAAAGCAAATGGTAAAGAATAGTAAAAATCAAAAAATAAGAAGCAAAGAGCACATTATAGATTAACTTTTAATTGATATATTTCATAATTTTAAAACATTTAGCGATAAACAACAGCGGTAATTAACAAAAAGTTTCTCGTTACTCCTGTGAGGATATAGCTTTAGAAAAAGCCGGTATTCACAGTTCGTTCTTATTTCATTTAAGTAATATCTTAAGAAGCTAATATAGTTCTCTGATTGGTTTTATGACGTCTTAAAACTGTATTTAAGCCTTGTTCATGTTCGAAATCGGTTCAAGATTTTAGACAGAGAGGGAATTAACAAATCAAATTTGAACAATTCGGAAACATAATCAACACGTCAATTCTTTCTTCATTCGAAATTTTTCGAGAGCTGATTTCTAACATCGTGGACACTTTGTTGTGTCCCGTGATTGGTCGGTTAGTCAATGGCTAGAAAAAAAGAGAAAGGTTTGATGCACGCAAGCGCATTATTCTTGAAAACTATCGAGTGCTTTCCATTTGGTGATACAAGTAAACACATATCGTTCTAGCTTTGTCATTCTCTGAATGGCAAGAAAGATAGAATGATGCTCGTAGACTGGTGTCACTTGGAAAGTACCCTTTTTTTCTGCTATAATATAGTATATGTTACGTATACTATAGCATTTTTGTATATTTTCGTACGCGATATTTTTCGAGAATCTAGAATATGATCCCAGACGAATCTCGCTGCATCAGCGAGTCCTGGCCCTGGCGAGTCCTCGATAAGCAAACTTGAGACAAGTGCAGTTCAATGTAAACGCGACTAAAAAGGAAGGGGCACGTCGGGGGCGTCGGGACTGGTCGGAGTTGATCGGAGTTGATCGACTGTCATCGTCTGACACCCGACAAGCGACAACGACAACGGCGACAAGACAAGCATCGGTGAAGCTTCGGTGGCACCGAGCTGCTCCGAGCTCCGAGCTGTCGAATCGTCGAATGGGAAATGGGAATGTGACCGATGTGATGCGAGCAAAGTGGATTGTGGCCCTCGTCTCTGTCTCGCGCTTTGTCTCACCTTGCACAATGAAAGTACGCAACGTAGAGTGAGTGGGGACACGGTGTTGGCAAAAAAGAAGAGGCGAAGCGAAAGAAAGAACGAGGCAAGGTGGGAGAGAAATGGTCTGTTTCACCACGAGCCGTCATGGCTGAATCATTGTGAGCGATTGTGAGCGATTCTCGTTACATTACCGATAACAAATGACGTCGCGAGTGATTCATTAAGGTGATGAAAAATCGAGGTTTTCATCTCGCGCGACAACGTGCCTGAGGCATCTGTCGACTCCATTTGATTCAGCCAGGACGAACCGATCGCTGGAGAGCTCCATGCCGAAGCTTCACCAGAGGGAGATAACAGGGTGATAAAAGAGAGAGAAAGAGAGAGGGGGAGAGAGAGCGAGAGAGAGAGAGAGAGAGAGAGACGGCGTTTAGTGGATGTCCGGTGCGCTACACGATGAACGGGTTAAGTCTGAGTGAACTGTGTTGCCTCTTCTGTTGTCCGCCCTGCCCGTCCAGAATCGCAGACAAATTAGCCTTCCTGCCGCCCGAGCCCACGTACACGTTTGTCGAGGACGAGGGCTCCAAGTTCTCCATTTCTCTATCGGAACGAGCCGAGTGGCAGTATACCGAACGCGAGAAGGAGTCAGTGGAAGGTTTCTATGCGAGGACGTCGCGCGGCAACCGCATAGCATGCCTATTCGTACGTTGTTCGGCGACCGCACGTTTCACCATTCTCTTTTCGCACGGGAATGCTGTCGATCTCGGCCAGATGTCGAGTTTCTACCTTGGGCTGGGCTCGCGCATAAACTGCAATATATTCAGCTACGATTACTCGGGCTACGGGGTCTCGGGTGGCAAGCCGTCCGAGAAGAACCTCTACGCGGATATCGACGCCGCGTGGCACGCACTGCGTACACGTTACGGCATCAGTCCGGAGAACATAATACTCTACGGCCAAAGCATCGGCACGGTGCCCACGGTCGATCTTGCTGCGAGATACGAGGTCGGCGCGGTAGTGCTGCACTCACCGCTCATGTCCGGAATGCGGGTTGCTTTCCCGAAAACTAAAAGAACTTGGTTCTTTGATGCTTTCACCAGGTAAGCCGGAAATGTCCTCCTTGGCCAAAACATATTTTCATCACAGGAAGCACGAAAGTTCAAAGACTTCCAAGTCAAGTGAGATGAGAGGGTCCATTGTCAAAGTCGCATCGACATACGTTTTTCACCTTTTTTTGACTCAAAAATTATTTCTCAGCTTTTAACAAATGTTTAATAGATAATAAGTAAAATGTAAATAAATCTACTTTTTTTTCTAAAGACGCAAAACATCTAAAAATTGTTTTCCATATTGTAATCTACAGATTAAAACGGTTGACAAGTGTATTAGAAAGTCACAGTGATTAATAAAAAATCAATAATAGCTTAATGCAAAAGTATTTTCTTTTTTTTTTATAATAAAATTACTATCTTGTTGAGAAGCTATACGAGTGTGCAGTCGACAAATGTATATTTGTGTCACGTGGATTTGTATAATATTATATTTATGTAAATGAAACCTACATGTTGCATTCTTGTCATAATGCGTCTCTCTAATCAGTTTCTTTATGATTTTTTTTATGATATCTAAAATATGTTTATTGCGATCTTGATATTTTAGTATTAGGAATTTTTTCAAAATGAGTAGTTTTAGTAATCTGCCATCCAACGAGCATTTACTTTAGTGTATTTTAGTTTTTTACTAATTTCAATATTTTCAACACTATAATTTACAAATGTTTTATGATTTCACCAACTGCAATACAGCTATTATTCCATAACAAGCTATTCACATGCTTCACATCACAATTGACATAGATATATGGCCAATAAGCATGCTTTTTGTTTTCGACACATTTCCATCCTTATTTAAACTACTTGTTGCAGTACTAAAATACTTAAGTTTATGGAAGATAATTATTTATAAACTGTGTTTTCAGTCCAGTTTTTTATTTTTTATTTACTAAAATTTTAATATCTTGAACAATTGTCGATAGTATACTTTTTTCTTCACTCATTGTTGTGTTTATACAAAATACATGTGACGTTTAGTATAATGAGTGAGGCATAAAAATACTGCGTTACGTTGCAACATTTCAAAAAATATTTCTGCTGAATGGAAAATAAAAACTTCCTTATATTATATTTAAATATCCTAGTAGTCTATTCGACATTATTTATTTTATCTTCGTATACTTTATCGTTTCTCTTATTGTTTTGCTTTCCTATTATTTTCTATTTGTTAGGTAATAATGTATGTGTAAAATGAAGAGATGACTTCTTGCGCAAAACTATTCTAAATTGAAATAGTTAAAGTGCAGAGATAATAAATTGCAGAAAAATATAGGAAATAAGTAGTACGGGAATTAAATTGTATCTATTAAATTTATGTTGACAGTATAATAAATAACTCTTTAAATGAAACAATTATCGTATATTTTTTTTGTTTTTTGCATGTGTCTTGTTTTATTCTATATAAGTTTTTGACTAAAAAGACATAGGATTGACATTTTTCAAGCGATAATAATTCTAAATAAAAAGATTTTATGTAAAATTATTCTTTTAATTAAATTTCAAGCCAATATCTTTTGTAATATTTTTTGTTTCTCAATATATATTGATTTATGTAATTATGTAGACATATTTTATATGTATAAAAATTATTTTAAGTCTATATCCTTAATGCCAATTTTTAAAAATTGGATATGATTTATTTTTAGAAAAAAAAAAAGATTCTATAGTCAGAAGCTAATGTATCGATCGTAAATTTTAACTTTTTATCTAAAATTATTTTAAATGCTTGTAAATAAATTTCAAAAATATAAATAAAATATATAATAAATAAAAATATTATATATAAATAAATTTTTTAAAATATATAAGATTGACAGAAAAGAAAATTAGAACTTAACGAGGTTTAATATAAAAATTACTTTTTATATCGATATTGTGACGTGTAAATGTAATTTTTCTATATTTCTTTGCAGCATAGATAAAGTGCCGAAAGTAACGTCTCCTGTTCTGGTCATTCACGGTACCGAAGACGAAGTTATAAACTTTAGCCATGGTCTGGCTATTTATGAAAGATGTCCACGAGCAGTGGAACCATTATGGGTTGAGGTATTATAAAATAATTATTAATACATCATTAAAAGTGTTTAATATTTTCTTGAGCTTTTTACTTATTTTTTTTACTTATATTATTATTGTGTCGTTACGCGCTTTGTTCATACTTTTCATAATTTAAATTAAAAAAGATCGCTATATATATGAAAATTTTTAAGTACAAATGCGTAATATAAACGCTGTGATCGATAAAATATCCAATGTATGTTTCATTATAAATGTGATAATAATAATCTTGGGTATTTTTCAGGGTGCTGGGCACAATGATGTAGAGTTATACAACCAATACCTCGAACGACTGAAACAATTTGTAAGCGTGGAATTGATAAACTGACGGCGACTCAGCCTCTCCCAGAGTCAGGGAGGACAGGGAGGGGGCCATATGCATGCGAACAGTCAAGGACGTACCATTTCCAACAATTCTAATACCATCAGTTCCATTTCGACAAGCTCACCAACGGAGAAGCTTGTCTAGCAGTCGCCTCCCACAGGGGAGAAGACACCTGTCCTTCCCTGTGATGAAGAATCATCTTTCGCCTCTGTAGATGATGTATTCTTCTTTTGTGATCAGCAACAGGCTGTAAATCAGGAAACTTATTATTCAGATTCATTCAAGAAAACACGTTCCAAAGACGAGTATTCAAATGTCGAAGGTAATTCGAAAAAATCTAGTATGAGATCGGAGAATAAGAATTCTAAGCAGAAAGATTCTTCTACATGCACAAAAGACAAAGATCAGAGTAAAAGCACAACCAATGAAAAAGTGAGCGACTGTCACAATTTTCAATTGAATCATACTGGAAAGGCCGCCAAGAAACATACCTATCTACCAAAAAATTTGAAAAATCCCTTTGCTCAAAAAAATATTGTTCATAGAAGCTTAAAGAATTCATTTGGTCAAAATCAGAAGAAGACAGATAGTCAAAGAACTCACACGACTTTAATTGATATACTTGTGGAGGATTGTCGACAATGTGCGATTGGGGAGAAACCGGTCGCATCATTTTCTAATGTTTCTGGTGATATTAAAAAGGATATTACTGATTGCAGAGGTACTCTTACTCAGCCTACAGAAAAAAAGTCTCCTGGATCTCGATTTAAGTACAATTGCATAGAGTCGGCGATGGACTCTGTTAACAGTAATAAAGACAGTAGGCAACGTTATTATAATAAAATCTCAATTGTAGATAATATTACAAAGTTTAAAAGGCCCGATACAACACACACAAAAACTACAGAAGTCACGAAAAAGTTTCCTTGGAATTGTACATGTACAAGTAAAATAAAGAGAAATCTTGACAAATGCAAGGAACAAATGAAGACCGATTCTGTCGAGAGCTTAGATTCCTATAATGACGCAAAACAGTTGAAAAAGAAAAAATCTGCTTGCAGTCCATTGAAAAAATTTGGCCGATCATCTCTATCAGTGGGTGCGGACAAAATCACGATAAATTTGCCCAAGTATTCTCCTTGCGCAAGTAGATTAGCCGCAAGCTCAAAAATTTTGTCGTCTGATTTAGCAGCAGATCCAGAGAGTCCGCTTCACGTTCCACGCTCGAGAAGTCCGTCTCATGTCGATGTACAAACTGAGAAACAAACTGAGAACAACCCTTCGAAGAATTCGGAAAAAACGTCGATACAGGCCAGTTTGTCTTTAAATATACAACAGTTCCAAAAGCCTCGGTATACTCTGCGTAGTAGGAGTGTAGGTGACAGCTGTGTAACGTCCCCAACAAGTGAGGCAACTACCGTGAGCTACTCGCCTACTGGTACAGAGATATTGTCCTTGGAAGAAGTCGGACCGCATACGTCGCATACATCATCGGCCGAAGGCTCTGGTAGTAGTTATTCAGAAGTCAAAGAGAAACCGGATGTCGAATGTTCTGACAAAGTTAGGAGAGCGACTTTGGAGACAAAGTGTTAATGAAACGTGGACTCTTGACAACACATCAAACATGTGTTTCACGCCATTCTCTCTTCCACGTATATACGTATTTTACGTAAAACGATCACGCAGTTCCATACGCCCGCGATAAACCCATTCGGGCTGTAATCGCGCTAGTGAGAAACTGTATACAGAGGCGAATATATATACGCGACATACCTTTATAAAATTTATTATATTTCTAGAATCGCGAGAGTATACATACTTGTGCATATTGAATATTCTTATCTACATATATATATATATATATATATACACACACTCAAACGCACGCGTGTTTGTGTGGATATTAAGAGCTGTTTTTGCAAAATAGGCTACAGAACGTTGTTGCGACAAATGTGTCGAGTATTATTATTTTTATTATCCTCCTTAAAATTAGGATATCCAATGGTTCCCGTGTGTGATTGTCGAAACATTTCTTTGCCTCGGGAAGTGCGATGAACATTGATAGCATGTAGTGAAGAGATATCTCGCTGAACATCTGCTTTTTCTCTATTTATTAAAAAATTAGTCAATCTCATTGACTTTTTTATTTCATTAAAATTTTTAATTCTTTAGCTTTAAAAGGCACATGTATCGTAAGAAGAAACTGCCTCTCATTCACGGAAAGCGTACATATACGCTCTCGTAAAATAGGTGCGCGCGCGTGCGCGTGTGCGTGCGTGCGTGTATGTGTGTGTGTGCGTGTGCGTGTGCGTGCGTGTATGTGTGTGTGTGTATGTACACACACCCACTATGTAAATTCACGATCGAAATTTTTCTAAATTTTTTTTTCGATTCAGGCAAATCTGGTTCAGCGAGAAAATTCGAATCTTTTCAAATTGCATGCTTTTGCGAATGATTGGTATTCCCGATGCCAATGGTGATGATAGTTGTAACAGTCATGAGGGCATTTGTTCTTATACCCATGATGAAGACCTGAAAGAGGAGAATTGGAGATCTTCCAGTTAATAAAGTTAATAAAGATTTTAGCATGCAGTGGTCACTGCACAGTTTGGAATTAGCAAACTGAAACAAGAAACTAATGATGAGCACGCAGTGCGTCCCGCAAGAATGTGTTTGTCGGAAGCTGAATAGGATAAAAAATTTGTCAACAATAAGAATGCAAATAGCTAGGGACAATATTACTGCCAAACTTGACTATGAATTAATTAATTTCTAAGAAAGTGAGAAAATGCATGAGGACCTCGTCTATAAAGATACGTTTCTCATTAGTATTTTTATATCTCGGTAATGTAAATACAATACACTAAACGGTTTTTTCTTTATCGATGTATGCGACAGTATGAGGCGTTTGCGTGGAATGCCAATTGCGTAGATAATCGTGAGATGCACTCTTTTGCGTAAAGCAATTTTGCTACTTTTTAAGGCATTCTATAAATTGTTGATACTTTTTACCTGTCAAAATTGTTTATCGGATATTGCAATGTCAATATTCGCGAAGTGAAAAAAGTTTTAAGACGATCGATTTTACTTACTAAGATAGGAAGTGATACATCGTAAGTGTAAGTTGGTTTTTACCGTTCAGGCTACTTGTGCCACAATGTCCTCGTAACTTGTTGGAAATGTTACAAGCGGAAAAATAACAAAACGCGACAGACATACGAAGAAAAGAAAATAATGCAACTTAGTTACGTAAAAGCAAGATTTTGCTATGCTTCACACGGCATCCTTTTTTACAACAAAGCTTTGTTCAATCTACACGGTGATTCAGATATCTGTAATAGATCTGATGATGGGGACATTCAAGCAAGAGAGATTAGTGATTTCATTAATATTGAATGATAAATATGTATTAAGCGTTACAAATTTATCGAAAGACATTCCAGTAAAGACAATTTTTTTGGTTTAGAGTTAATTCTTTTTCACTTACTGGAAAATTAAAAAAGACATTAGAGAATTTTATCCTCATAGAAAATTAGTTCTGAGCTACAAAATACGTAAGAAATAAGAAAGTCATACGTCAAATAATGCACATCATAAAACAGAACGAAATATGTACGCTGTGATACTAAGAAAACTTGCAGAATCTTAGCAAGTAAGATTCAAATTAAGTCTTTATTAATCTTTGGTAAATACCACAACTCTTATTACATTTTTGTTACAATGGGCCTATATCAACTTATTAAGCATTTATCAAATCGAAAAATTCATGTGAAGCAATAATTTTTTAAGAATACCATATATTTTAAACATAAGACTGTGTTATTGATATTTTACTTTTAATTATAATAAATTATAATATTAATACTTTTATATTTAGAGATCCAAATGATATTTTTGAAAATTTCTTGATATTGAGAATTTAAAGTAAAATATCGATCTGTATAATTTTGATCGTTTATAATTTGGAAATATTCGATTTAATATTTCAACATTTTTGCTAAGGAAATTGGCTAAAAAATCTATTGTTAAAAAAATAATGCATCAAAAGCGGATATTGTATACATCCTCTTAACATGCGTATAACGTTGTTAAGATTGTCATTTATGTAAGTCGAGCAGAATATTTTCTCTCTATAGTCAAAAAAATAATGGCACTATTTATTATCAGATTATTACAATAAAATATTAAGTAGCCTACTTACGTACATAAAATCTCATAAGTATCACTTGAAGCATTCCCTGAAATTAATAGAAATTAATAGATATTATGTCATATAATACTTTATACAGACTTTTATTTTCATTTAATATATTCATCAAATTCTTACTTGAATGTCTCCAGATTTCGTTTTCACGAGCGACAATACCCTTATATCACATATATTAGCGTTAGATATAGTCGTCGAATTTTGAATTCAATTTATTTAATATAAAAAATCTATTTAATATTGTATGGCGGATTGACAATTATATTATCACATGTGATAATTTAATATGTGATAACATAATGTTGTACGAGGTGCCAATAAGTCAATGCTTTAAAACCACCATTTTGTTTGTATTGTCCAAATCTCTTTCGTTTTGCACGGAACATATACATATATATTAACAGGGCCGGCTGTAAAAATGAGTGAGCACAAATATTCATAAGATACACTTGCAATAATCAAAATTTGAAAAGTAGAACATGTAAAAAGTGAACATGTTTCTTATGAAATTTAGATATCGATTTCTGATTTAATGAAAATATTAAAATGTTAATTTTTCCGAGTTCGATAAGTCATTGTGCTTTGTTATGGACTTTTCCCGAATTAAATTGTAGGAATGAAAATAATGTCGAATATAAAATAGATGTTTAAAATAATGATTTATTTTATGATTCATTTGGAAATGGTCTTTGCTTTAAGAAAATTTTAAGAAACGATTAACTGTCGAAAATCGAATATAGAAAAATAAAAAAATCTTTGCTCGGCATTTTTACTAAAAATATTGTTCTAAATTTTATCAGAAATAATATGTTTACTTTTTTTCCAATTATGGGACATTCTGTCGTCAGAGGCGATAAACTTTCAATGCAGCATTTCGATTATGTGTTTTGGTAAACGTTTACCAAAACCTGCAGCCATTAGTGCAATGTATAGTTATCGATAAAAGTCTACAAAGATATTAGGAAAAGTATAAATGAAGAAAATGGAGGCAGATAAAAATAGTAGAAAATTGTTTGAAGCGGCAGAAAACTTAGAGCCGGTCTTGTATCCTATAGTTCCTGTTATCATGTCTCAATTTATATTATTCAAAGTATACCCCATACCTCGTTATACCATTGTGCATCAGTTTTTATTTCTTTTACTCCCAATCGATTTCTATGTAACTGTCGCTGTGTGTTGATCGCTATTTTTATTCGCGATCTCCATTTCAGTGATTAATTTAGAAGGCTAAGAGATAAAACTTGCAATAAGGATCGAATTACGTTGTTGTTCATCAGAGAGATTTGTATAATACGCATCGATTTCGAGATATTTGAATTCTCTCCTCCTATTTTTTTTCTTTTAAGTTTTAGGATAAACTACATCTCTCCCTCTCTCTTCTTTCCTCTCTCCCTTTCTCTCTTACTTTTGCTCGCGTTTCTTCGCTGTCCCTCTCCTTCACGCGCTCGCAAATGATCGACCGGTTTTGAACAGTACTATCGTCTTTCATGATCGCGTCGTCCAGAAAGAAACTGGTACTCTCGATGCTTCAAGCGAGTATCGCGGATTCACGATGCGTTGATATTCGTAACTGTACATAATAGCGTATAAACTATATAAGTAATAAGAAAAAAAGCAACATTACGTATTCGATGTTCTCTTCGGTCGTGTCTAATGTACTTACAAAGGAGAGAATCCGTTTAAGGACAAAAATACGTTTTGATAGCGAAGATTATAGCTGTGATTGTTGAAGGTAAAAGTAAGGGAGAGACATTGTGAAAGAGCAAATCTATATATAGATGAATGCGAGAAGCTTTATTATAAACGCGTATGTTTGAGAGGAAATGAGAGAAAGAGCAGGAAAGCTTGTTCTCGAACAAATATCGGAATCGTTTATTTAGCGCATTAGAACATAATTAGGAAAATAAAATAATGACATTTGTTTCTTTATATAAGAACGCGTAGAAAGCGTAGAAACACCGCTAGATATATATTACCCGAATAAAAAGGGTCATTTTAGAGTTTTATACTTCCATCGCACTTGACTTGGGCGTACTATCATCGCGCAGTACTTTACTAATCCTGTGGAAAACGTTAACACAATGTATAATTATGATGTAAATTACATGTTTAAGCACATATTATCAATCCAACGTGTTTTATTTAACCAATGATAATGACCTAAGGGAATGATGTTTACGGTAGAAATTTTGCAAATTAAATGTATATTATGGTAATTGACAAATAATGTAGAGCAATATTCAAATATGAAGAGTATATTCATGTATATTAATTAAACAAGGTTATTTACACAATCGCGATGTGTGATTACAAAAGATACCTTGTCGTGTTTTCTTAAGCAAATATGTATCGTTAAGATAACTTTTTAACAATCAAAACTACGATTCGAGTAAATTGCATTGCTTACGTAGAATATGTTCGAACGTTGCAGATTTTTATTGTCCCGATACTATATGTTTCTCATCGTTTTCGAAAATATAATGCATGTCTGCGCGTAGATTGTCGCCAATGCGCTACTTCGTTTCGAAGGTCAATGCATTTCTGCGACGAAGAAGAAAACGTTGTGCCGTGTATATAGGCTGGTTCACCACTCCGACCGGCACCTCCGCGACTCACCTGCGCTGAAACCTGATGCCGACGATAAAAATGAAAACAGGTTACACGGCAGCTCGCGCTCGAGTGGCTACGCTGTATCTCCAAGGAACAAACTTAGTCGCTTCAAGGAAGAGGCCATCTTTTTCGTTATCGCCTGCATCCCAGTGCAAATTAATTGCACTTTCCTTCAATTGTGGATTAACCATTTTCAAGTTGACTTGTCCTTTACAAAAATGTCAAGGATCAACACTCTCAGCTTTAGTGTTATAGACATAAACGATTGGAAGTGGATGGATCTTTATAAATCACATGAAATATGAGAATTGGCGAGGAGTAGACACAGGCTAACGTATATACTATGACTGCGTTCGGAAACGTCGCTCGGATGCCTCTGACGCCTCGGATTCATCATCTGTTTAACATTTAATGTTGAACAAGGACAGATGATGAATCCGAGGCATCGGAGGCATTCGAGCAACGTTTCCGAATGCAGCCTATATTATCTGAG